CATGTATAAGTTTTTACATAAACATAACAAATATGACGCAGAACATAATTGTATGATCTGACGTAAAAACACCCCGTTGGAACAAAAAAAAAATCCGCTTCCTTTTGGAATATTCCTCATTTGCCCCTTTATGTGGAGAATTATGAAATATAAAGGCGCATTTAAGATTATATCTGGGCGGATTCAGGCAACGAGGCGCTGTCGAATTTTTTTAAATTTTGCTTCAAATGTTTATATTTCCTGGCGCATGTTCCAAGAAAAACAATCCTTTTTATTTTAATGTCCTGACATGTTTAGTTTCTGAGAAAAAAAAAATCTTCAAGAAGCGGGAAAGAATCGGGAATGAACGACGAGGTTTTGACGATTGTCGTGTGCGGCGTTTTAGAGCGCAACTTTTAGGAGCCCGTTTCCGGCTTGAGCGGCGTCGGCGTCGCCGTCGCCGTCCACGTAACCCTAAGGTCACGTAACCCCCCCAGATCACGTTACCCCCAGGTCACGCGACTTCCCAGGTCAGGTGACCCCCAGAAAACCTGACCCCCCAGGTCACGTGGCCCCCCAGCAGTACGAGGGAGGTGGAGGAGGGAGGGAGGGGAGAGGAGGAGGCGAGGGGAGGAGACAGAAGGATCAGGAGGAGGTGAAGGAGAAGGAGAGGGTGGAGGAGGAGGATGTGGGGAGGAGGAGTAGCAGGCAGGATCACGAGAAAGGAGGAGGGGTATACCCTCCCCTCAGTACCCTTCCCTCCTCCTCCTCCAGAGCTGCGCTCCAATTCGGCGTTACAGGGAGCTGTATACGGCTTTCATTTTTTTGGATTACACTCAACCTCAAAGTATTCAAAAGAGAGCGTCTATATTTTTCAATGTAATATACATGCAAGTAGGCAAGACGACATTATAACGACTATTTATTATTCGTCGTTCCAATTTGTGTATAAATCCCCAAATCTGCCTCCGCGAACAACTGTGACCTAAATTGCGGATTTTTTTTTTTTTGAGTCGACTATGTTTAGTATTGCTTTTAAAATAATACCACTCGTAGAAACTTCCATTTCCTTCCAAATTAAGAAACTTTGTGTTTTTATCATGTACGAGTACTGAGAAATAAATAATAAAACCGAGGTTTTCACTTTCTGTTCAATTTCAGCACGCTGTCTATATATATAAAAAAAAACATTTTTTAATATTTTTTTTCGCGTCGCGTTTTTTCGCATTCTTTTTTTACCCAGAATACATTCCGTTAGAGACATATACACTGGTTCTGAGTTTTAAGCCTCTCAATATCATAAAAAAGAGCAAATGCCGATGGTGGGTTTTAGCGATTGTCCGTGAGTGGCGTTTTTAATCGCTCTTAATCTCAAAATATTCAGCAGAGAGAGTCTATATTTTTTTAATGTGATATATATGCACGTAGGTAAGACATTATAACTACTATTTATTATTCGTTCATTTAATTTTTTCTTTCATTTCCGAAACATGCCTTCGCAAACAACTGTGACTTAAACTACGATTTTTTTTAGTCGACGGTTTAGTTCTGTTCTTAAAATATTACCACGTGTAGAACCTTTCATTGCCTTCCACATTGTCCAAATTTTGTTTCTTAATCACGTACGAGTACTGAGAAATAAATTATGAAACAAAGGATTTCACGTTTTGTTCAATTTCACAATGCTGTACAAAAGAAACTATTTTGTTTAATATTTCTCGCGTGGCGTTTTTTTACACCCGTCTTTTAGCCAGAATGCATTCCGCTAGAGGTATATGCACTAGTTTTTAGTTTTAAGCCTCTAAATAATGCTAAAAAAGTGAAAGCCGCTTACAACTCCCTGTAACGCCGAATTAGAGCGCAGCTCTTGAGGAGGAGGAGGGAAGGGCACTGGGGGGGGGGGTTAAACTAACCAGGGGGGGTCCGTGACCTTGGGAGGTCACGTGACACCCAATGCCGAGGATGTCATCACTGACGTCACTGATGACGTCATCAGTGACGATGACGATGCGGGTACCGATGACGTCATCAGTGACGTCACTGATGACTTCACCAGTGATGATGACGATGACGATGCGAAAGTCGGTGACGTCATCAGTGACGTCGCTGATGACGTCATCAGTGATGATGAAGATGACGATGCGGATGCCGGTGACGACATCAGTAACGTCCCTAATGACGTCATAAGTGATGATGACGATGACGATGCGGATGCAGGTGACGTCATCAGTGATGATGACGATGACGATGTGGATGCCGGTGACGTCATCACTGATGATGACGATGACGATGTGGATGCCGGGCGTCATCATCACTGATGACGTCATCAGTGATGATGACGATGTGGATGCCGGTGACGTCGTCAGTGACGATGACGTCATCGGGGGGTCACGCGACATCGGCGGGGGTCACGTGACCTCGGGGGTCACGTCACCTCGAGGAGGGAGTCACGTGACCTCAGGGGAATCACGTGACCTCGGGGGGTCACGTGCCCCCACGAGGTCACGTGACCCCGGTGGGGGGCTCGCGCGGTGCATTATGGGACATTTCCCATGATGCACCGCGCGGTTACGCCGACGGCGACGGCGACGCCGACGCCGCCCAAGCCGGAAACGGGCCCCTAAGAGCTGCGCTCTAAAAGAGCAAATGCCGAATGTGGGTTAATGGGCTATAGCTGAATATTCTTTATAATTTAAAGGACATTTAATAGATAATCAAATAAAAAAAGTAAAAGCCGCTTACAACTCCCTATAACGCCGAATTAGAGCGCAGCTCTTGAGGAGGAGGAGAGAAGGGTACTGGGGGGGGGGGTCAACTGACCGGGGGGTCACGTGACGTTGGGCAGTCACGTGACCTTAAGGGCCACGTGAGGGTCACGTGACGATGACAATGCCGATGCTGTCATCAGTGCAGTGACAATGACGATGCGGATACCGATGACGTCACTGATGACGTCATCAGTGATGATGACAATGACGATGCGGATGCCGGTGATGTCATCCGTGATGATGACGATGACAAGGCGGATGCCGTTGACGTCATCAGGGAAAATGACGTCTTCGGGGGGGGTGGTGACGTGACCTCGGCGGGGGGGGTCACGTGACCTTGGGGAGGTGGTCACGTGACCTCAGGGAGTCACGTGACCTCAGGGGAGTCACGTGAATTTGGGGGTCACGTGACCTTGGGGTGACCTTTGTGGGTCACGTGACCTTGGGGTGACCTAGGGGTCACAGGACCTCTCGGTTACGCCGACGGCGACGCCGACGCCGCTCAAGCCGGAAACGAGCGCCTAAGAGCTGCGCTCTGAAAACTTTGATGTCGTTCGACGTATAATAACCGGCTTTCGATTCCAAACGTCTAAACACTATAAAGTCACAACTGCCGAAAGCAGGTTATCAGACAGTTTCCGCCGGAGCCTTTATTGAAGAGGCCTCAAGCCCCAACCCTATCCGCTACATAATCTATACTGCGTTATAAATATCAAAGTGGAATATTGTAAAACATTAGAATAAAATACACTTCCTCTTGGAAACCCAGATTTTTAAATGCGAAACTTTATATTTCTAAGGCAAAATTCATGTTGATAACAGAACAGAATCATTTTTAGCATATTTAGAAGCTTAAAACTCAAAACCAGTGCATATACTTCTAACGGATTGCATACTGAGTAAAAGGAGGGTGTGAAGAGAACGCGACGCGAGAAAAAGACAAACCTTAAAAATGATTTTATACAGCGAGCTGACATTGAACGAAAAGTGAAAACCTTTTTTGTTTCAAAATTTATTTCTCAGTACTCGTACATGATAAAAGCACGAACTTTGTTTAATTTGGAAGGCAATGAAAGGTTCTACACGTGGTATTATTTTAAAAGCAACACTAAACATAGTTGACTAAAAAAAAAACTCTCCAATTTAGGTCACAGTTGTCCGCGGAGGCACGTTTGGGGAATTTTACACAAATTGGAGCGACGAATAATAAATAGTAGTTATAATTTCGTTTTACCTACTTGCATATATATCACACTAAAAAGATATAGACGCTCTCTTTTGAATACTTCGAGATTGAGAGTGATTCAAAAACGCCACACACGACAATCGTCAAAACCTCGTCTATCTTTCCCGCTTCTTTGAGAATTTTTCTCGGAAACTAAACATGTGAGGACATCATAAATAAAAAGGATTGTTCTTCTTGAAACATGCGCCACAAAATATAAAAATTTGAGGCAAAATAAAAAATACGACTGCACCTCGTTGCCTTAGTCCAAATGAAACGGTACATCTACATTATCTTGTCAAGACGAGCGCGCTTGAAGCACCAAAAACGTCGCTTCTACCTCTGACAATCAAGTGTCACGATCTTTCTCGAACGTGGACGAAGGGGGCCGAAGCACCCGCCGAGGAGGGACGACACGCAGCCTGGTTGTGAGGTTGGACGATGACTGGCCGGAGCGGCGTGCGCTCAACGGCGTTTATTGTCGCGATGACCAATGTTACCCGCCGAGCCTGGCGGCCACAGACGGGCGGACTGGAGGGGGCGCTACCAACTGGTCACATCAAGTCTTATAAGAACTTTGCGCGCCGTATAAACAACGCGCTAACCTTCCCTTTTTTTTTTTTTTACTTGAGGTGACAGTTAGTTTGGAGAGATAGTGCATGGTCACGTGTCTCTCTCCTACGCGCTAATTGGCTCAGTGGGACCGTAGGCTTCGCCGTTTGCCAAATTACAGTGAAACGTGTCTATACTCCGTCTCACTAAAACCGTGCAGTAGAGTCAAAGCTAGAGGGAGAGAGCGTATGTCAACGTGTTTAAGAGGAGGGAAAGGAGGAACGGTAGAGTAGGGCTCGGATCCTCCTTTTCTTTTTTCCCTCCTTTTAAACAGGTCGGGATACAATCTCTCTCCTGTAGCCTTGGCCGTGCTGCACGGTTTTAGTCAGACGGAGAATAGCTGCTACCCCAGCCCGCCGGAAGATATGCGGGTACATTCTGATTCCCTTCGCGCTGACTCATCTATCGACTTCCAGGTGATTCAACGTCGGAGCGAAAACGAAAAGGGAGACAATTTCTTTGAAAGAAACTTTACAGAATATGAGCGTGGATTTGGAACAGCCGGGGGAAGTTTCTGGATAGGCAAGTACAAATATATCAATCCTTGCGTATTTGCATCTCAGAAAAGGCAAACCCTATCTGGAGCACAAAACAACTGCTTTCAAATTACGCTCCTGCAAATTCCAGTGGTCGCGCAACAGCTCTTGGTCGCACGAGCGACGGGGCAGTCGCTTCCGGATCGATGTTTCGGACCGGTCGCAGAGTCACCCGGCTGCTGAAGCAGTCATCGGCGCCTCGGACATTCGGCACTTTTGTGGGAGTTGCAACAATGCAACAAACATGCCCGTCCATTCACGGCGACGCTACTAGATTTGCTATAATTAACGTCGGTTTGCGGTTGAGGGCATGGATAAAGAACCACGGAGATCTCTATGGTGGCTCTGATCAGCGCTATTAAATTGTACTTATTTCCCAACGAGAGCCCAAAAATGAACTCGATCTGATAGAAAATTCGCGACTTTTGAATTCCCAGGTACGTATATTGTACCGCAAAACCCCGAGTGAGTGAGCCCCAATGTAGCGATTGTTCTTTAATTGTACGCTTCCGAAAGACGCAGGCCGATATCGCGAGTCTTTCTCTTGGCCTAAAATTACGCACGGGGAGCTGCGCAATAACAAAAACTGGAAAGCAGCGAAACACGAACCCTACCTCACTGGCAAATTTCATATAAATTCATACAGAAATTCTTACAAGAAGGCATTTCCTGCATACCTTTTTGTGGGGAGGCACACAGGAAGCCATTTTATATATATATTTTTGTGGGAAATCACACCAGAAGGCATTTATTCTAATTTTTTATACAGGACGTCTTACAGAAAGGAACTTCTTGTTTGCTTTTCTTACAGGAAGCCTTACAGGAAAGTATTTCCTGTAGTGATGAGACGAATCCTTATCCGAATCGAGATTCGGAGCCGATTCTGAAGATTCGGAAAGATTCGGAAAAGTAGCCGAATCTCAAGCGATTCGGAAAAGTTCGGAAAGATTCGGAGCGCTGCCATGGATGCCAAATCACGTTGATGTGTTTTTAAACTTTCGTGATATTAAATTCACTAAATTCTACAAAGTGCACAAAATAATATTGTAATATAATATCACAGTAATAAATAGAATGTTCCGCTTTGTTTATATTATTTTGGATGTTTGTCGAGAACTGTAGCCAGACATCGCGGGAAAATTGGTTTCGGTTCCGGATTACGACCGAAATAGGTATGCTTGGTGCACGCACGTAGAAATACAAGCACATGTTTTCATCGCTGCAAGAGATCGATGCCGTAAGTGGTGTTCGGTAGAGACACATTTCGTGCCGATAATTACTGTCAGTGTGGCACACACCACACAAGTGAGTATGTTCGATTTGATTATCTCCAACGAATGTCCACTGAGGCAGAGCTGCACTGAGGTATTGCTATCGGAACACGGGAAACAATCTGAAACTCCTGTTTAATGCTATCCAATTTAGTTAGTAGACAGTTTTAGTATAGCGTTGCTGGCTCTTACGTACGCAATACGCAATAGTATAGCATACGCTAAAAATGACCTGCTCGGACCGAATTTAGCTGTGCGTTACGTTTTAGAGTGAACACCGCGCATGATCTCTTAAATTGGCTAGAGCCGTAGAATTCCGCGTGCCTTATAGCGCTACCATGCTCCTGGAAAGAAATATTGAAAATGAAAACGTGCCCAATGATTTTATTTCAAATTAAACCAAGCCGCAGCTGCCTCGTCAAGCGCGCTTTTCTGCGGGGTGCAGAGGCTACGAGTAAAGGCCGGTTCAGACACTTGCGTTTGAGTGCGTTTGACTGCGTTGCGTCGAGAACCGAAAGCGAGTCACCGGCACATCTGTGCTTCGTGTGAAGCGTGCAATCCAATTCAAAGAATCATCTTAGCACGCGATATAAGTAGCAGGGATGTCCTGGTTTCTCGCTGCCGCAACGCAGTCAAACGCAGTCAAACGCAACTGTCTGAACCAGGCTTAAGAGTGCGTAGCCGAATTCGATCACGGAGCCTCCGTCAATCTTCCCTTTGAAACGGCACCTTTTATCAATGCTATCGCGGAATGAAATTCATGACCTACTGATGTCCAGTACATAGCGAGAACTTCGGCGATTTCTTTTAGAGTCGCTCGTCCGTCGGCGATGAACTGTGCGAATAGGCTTAGCGTTGAGCAGATCGCAGCGTTGACGCACATTCCAAGCGGCGAACATTTTCACTGTGCACTCCTTCAGCTGCACGGCGATCTGATTCGACCGCCGTAGCTCCCGGAACGAATTGCCGAGCTGAACACCACGCAATTTCACGTAACACAGATCTTCGAAAACGCGCCATGTCGCCTTTGCTGCGCCAGTCGAGTTAACCGCCATCTTGAAACTGGCCCTCTCGTTGGGTCCGAGATCTCTCGAGAACGTCCCGCAGAGCCCGCTAGCCCGCCACGCAAAATCCCCAGCGTTGCGTGCGTACGCAATACGCTAGCTCTTCTATTGCGTTCTGCGCACGCGCACTCCCGACCCGCAATTTTATTGCGTACGCAAGGCTTTAGCGTACAATCCACTAAAACTGTCTAGTGTTTGTTTCCGAACAACGAAGTTGCGTTGGACACCCCTGTTTTGTGTTTCTTTTTCGTCAGATAAAGTTCACGTATACAAAACTTGCCACCGAGGACGAAGAAACGACAGTGCGATGTTTTTGTTGTTGTTGTTTTGTTTTGTTTTTTGTTTTTTGTGGCACCGGTGCCGGTACGCGGTCGAAGAAGTTGTGACGAGCAACATTCATCTCGCTCTCGCGCCTTACGGGTACGCGCATACGCAGCTCTAGAGAAGCAGAAAAATCGTTTCCTTGCCTGAATTAAATATTTATTGTGCGTTGCGTCACATTACGTATAATACGCAGCGTTTCGCTACGTTTTACCGATCACCGCGAAACCGCAAAGCGAGACCGTGCATTGGTTAGGCCTCAACCACACCGATCAGCTCAGCTGGACCTGGGCGCGTGCCAGGGTTTAGAACGGCAGTACAGTGCATACTATATGTTGAAATAAACAAGACGAAACCCGGTTATATGCAGTAACAGTACCTAGAAAAGCACAACTGACCGCATTCACGAGGTTTACGACAAGGTTCACGCTGCAGCCGCCTGCAACCAGCGACGAATCTGACGAATCTCCGAATCTACCGAATATTCGTCACGGGAAGTTCGGAAATTTCCGAATCTGTCCGAATCAGAATCTCCGGTGATTCGTCCCATCACTAATTTCCTGTACACTTGCATATAGGAATCCGATATAGGTAGCTAAATCCTGTATGGCTTCATAAAAGAAGTCAAACAGGTAAGGAATGGTACTTTCTATAACAGCCGTTACAGACAAAGTAGCTCTACAAAATCGCTCTACCATGTTTTCACTTTTATGCATTTAGTGCTCCAAGAGTCCAATTCATTTAGTTTTGAGAGGGCATCGGGCACTAAAGAAACTCTAAGTATAGAGCGGGTTATTAACGCTGGGTCGGGCGATCCTTTTTAAAGATTCGGCAACATCGACGACGGTCGCCCTACAGCTAACTTTAACATCAGTACCGACAACTAATACAACTACATCAATAACGGACGTCATTTCAACTGGTGGAGAGAGCCCATAACAACTATCGCTGTTATGGGCCCTGTATATTTATACAGGACCCTATAGGTGGTTATGGACCGTGTATACCTATACAGGATCCTGTGTGTTAGTATGAATGCTCTGTACCTATACAGGACCCTGTAGGTGGTTACGGATCGTGTATACCTATACAGGATCCTGTGTGGGTGTATGAATACTCTATACCCATAGAGGATCCTTCAGGTGGGTATGGACCCTGTATTGACACACAAGATACACGATCCTGTGTGTGAATATGGATCCTTTATACCTATACAGCACCCTGTATGTGGGTATGGGTCCCGTATACTACACAAGATCATGTATAAAAATACTACTGGTCAGAGCCGCTAAAAGCTTCTTTTTAGTCGAAATACAAAATATAAGTGGTGCGAACCGTTTCAATTATTTATGAAAGTAGTTTTTGTTCGGTATTTTAGCGCAGAAAAGAGACAAATTCAGTTTATAAAGTACGGAAAAAAGAAATGACCCGTCGACATACCAGCCACCAAGCGGCGGAAAAAGCGGCGCATACTAGGAAGGAGTAGTGGGATCAGGCGCTGACACGGGAAGGTCACGGATGTACGCGGCGGCGCTGCGGTCGTTTAAAACTGGAGGATCCGACCGGCTCCGGGCGTTCCGAAGGCCTTCGGCGAGCAGCTTTGTTTTGCGGTTTGGCCGTTTCGCGGTATGGCAGCGCAAAGTGGCTCCCACTCTGAACAGATCTTTACACCGTCTTTGCTGTCGTTTGTGGCCAATGAAGTGTCATGCCGAATTAGTGTTTACTCGCGCAGAAAATGCAAAGAATGCCGTTCTGGTTGCCCGCTGCATACAGCATATCCAGAATATGCTCTAGTGGCGCCCTCTCGCGCCGTCGACACGGAGTGGGGCAGCCGTGAGCGCTCGCGATGAGCCCACGACCCCTCCTCTAGTTCGCAGCCACTCAAGCAACCAAGGACGTCATGAGGGAGGTTATTTTCTTGCTTGTTTTTGTAATTTTAATTTGCCTATAACTTTTAAACTAAAGCGAATTTCGAGAAAAGAAAAGTTGCACTACGTTACTACGTTCAGTGCGCTCAGGTTCGGTGAAAATTAAAAAACAGTAAAAAGTCCTTGCAGGGCCCCTTGAAGGAATGCAAGCCAGCTCAAAGAGCGGTGGTCGCTGACCACTTCAAAGTGTCTTGCATAGAGCTATGGTCGGAAGTTTCTAATAGCACAGACTACGACAAGAGCTTTGCGCTTCGTGGTCGAGTAGTTCCGTTCAGGTTTGGTCAAAGACCGGCATGCATAAGAGATAACTTTTTCGTCCGGGCAATTAGATGTGTGTGTCCACTCCCCTCTATAATGCCTTCGGGCCCTGAGGGAATGAATAAATAAATAAATAAATAAATA